AGAAAAAAATCTAAGAAAACAGGAGAATATCGGCCGAGATATTGGGGAGACAGAGACAGAAAAACAGTGAAAAGAGAAAAAAAAATTAAAGAGAAGGAAGAAGAGCCAGAGACAGAGGAAGAAGAAGAAGAAGGAGAAGGCAACGACGACACGGAACGAAAGAGAGGAACACGTTATACGCACACGCAGCACAATAATATACCGGCGATAATTTGCTGGCCGCATGTGCACGATTGCTGTGTGGCTGTGCGACATTAAGCGTAATGCGAGTTGCACCGTGTGCATAGACGCCGCATTAACGAAAAACGAGAATAGGAAGGCTTATTAGAAGCGGTAGAGAGCACGTTTTGCGGGCGAAGAGCGGCGCGCCAACGACCACGTTGACGACGTCGACGACGTCGACGAGCTCCGCGCGTGGAAATTAAATACGCGCGTGAGAAGACAGAGAGAGAGAGAGAGAGAAAGAAAGAGGATGATGTGCGCGCACTCGCGTCCAGCTTTTCGTTCCTCCGCGCTCGCCGGCCTCTCCGTGTGTGCATTCCGCGTTCCCGCAAATTGACACGAGCACCAACCGTGCGTATATATTTAGATGTGCCGGCCGGTCGGTGGGAGGCAAGATATTTTAAAATATGAAGACACTCGTCGGAAGATGCAACGAGATGCGCCGGGACTGGAGATAAAATTCTATCGACGGGAGGAGGAGAACTCTTCGAAAAAGTCCGATCAAAGGCGACGACGACGACTCACTCCGCGAATTGGAGAACTGGAGGAACTGGAAAGTGCTCCTCGCAATTTCTTTCGCAATCAATTTTCCACGGAGATGTAAATCGTTCGTTTTCTTGAGAGCGGGGAAAATTTCGAGAAACGTTCAGACACTTTCGCGAGGCGCTGTGCGCGACGCAATCTCGAAAGATTAATATGTACCTCGACTTGTTATTAAAAATTTTCTTCGTTAGCTGTCGAGAGAGCTAACGAAAAAAGTTGCTGCTAGGCTCGTTTAGGGACGGAAAAGGTGGAAAGAGGTGGTAGCCGCGTGGCGAAGTTTGATCGATACCCTCTGACTCTCTACCCCCGGCGTCACCTTGCCGATTTCACTGGTTAACGCGCGAGGAAAGCTTGAAACATGCGTCAGTAAAACATCAACTACCCAGATAAGCAGATAACGAGGCGTTGTGTGCATCCGTGGAGTCGTTTGCACGCGTGTACGAATACACGAGGATTGTATACGTGGCGGCGACTCGGCGACTCGGCGACTCTGCAACACAGCGAGAACCGCGTGGTGAGTGGGGAGGGGTGGGAAGGAGGGATGTGTTTCGCGAAGCCATGACGGCTGCGCGTTCACTGCATAACCGGATCAGAAACCATGCAATCGTATCTACTTTTCTACTTACGCTTTAGTTGGGGTGCTTCGCCTACATGCGATCACGATGCAGCCGCGACGCACGATTACGAGAATTCTCTCCCACCTCTAACTCCTTTCCTTCTCCTCCTCCTCCTCCTCCTCCTCTTCCTTCTTCTTCTTCGTTTTCGTTTCCAACGACACGAACTCTTGCCACCTTTTTCCTTCGTCCGGGCATCCTCCACCGACCGTGAACGAGTAAGTTTCGCGGGCTTTGGAGTCGTTCCAATTCTACTTTCAAACGACCTGTACACGCGGGAGAAATAATTTCGTTTTAATTATTAATCAAACGTGACGATCGTGTGTCGAAAATATGTCACAATTAACGTACACGCTTGCTGGCCAATCGACGAGTGAACGAGTTTGATACGAATGATGGGACTTCCACTTTCTGTCTGGTTCAGTTGCTCGAAACTTTTTGCGAAAAAGTAAAAAGAAATGAAAAAAAGAAAAGGAGAAAAAGAGAAAAAAGGAAGGAGAATTTTCTCACAATCCGAGAAACGATCGAGACACACAGGCACAGTGCATGCGTTAACCGGTAACGTTTATCGAATGCGATCTCAAGCGCAGGTGAAAACGATTTCACGAGACGTCAGAGAGTCTCTCGAGGTAGATATAAATTTTCACGGCGGATCGTTAAGAGGCAGATCGAGGAGCGTTGATCGCGAGAGGCAGCGACACGACGAGAGAGGAGGGATTTAATGATACCCGGTCGCCGCCGCCGCCTGGTGCTATAATAATTCCTCTCATTTTTCCGCGTTAATTCTCATCAACCGACGTGTTTTCTATAGTTTCGCGTAGAACAGCACGATACCGCGAGATACCGCGAAACGTGGGAAACCTCTCGCCCGGTTTTATTACGACGCTTTTGCAGTCACGCTTGCCGCGGTCAAAGAAATTTTCCTCGGATAGGTTTTAGCACGGTCTGCGCGATTCTTACTCGGGGTTTGTGTTCCCCTCGGTCGCCATAATTTTCAATCCACCTGTGTACGCGCGAGCGATCACGCCGGAATCCGCTTTCTAAAAACCGTGAGTAAGTAATGCAGCAGCGCGGAAGATCGTTTGAATCGGTCGATTAAAGCGACAGAACGGAAAGGAAAAGGAAAAGAAACAAAAATAAAAGGTGACCGATGGGAGTCACGTGCACGTTTAGCCGGCGTTCGCCGATTACCTTCGATAATTGATTAATGGAAATAAAGGAGAACGTACGCATGGGACACAATCGAAGGTGAACTGGAATAAACGGCCAGGCTGTTAGGAATGTGC